TACATTTTAGGTTATTAGATTTCGCTTTAAGTTCGTTATAATAGCAACTTTCAGAGAATTTAGAACGCAACCGGCAGCGCAACGGCATGAACACTCGGCAAATATAAAGTAGACACAAAGCCATCGACTCGAAATTTTCCTTTGAAAATTCTTAGCTATAAGAATTCCCCTGCGTCGCTTAAACTAGCCGAATACTACAGGTGTTCTTGTATTAGTGAACTGTTCCACTACACAAAAGTCATTGCAATGACGTCAACTAGGGCAATGCAAAGGCCTCTTGATACACACGAAAAAACGCCAACGACTGGCGTGGTGACCACGACACAACAATAGTGAAACGTGTACAAGATGATAAAGTACAGACCCTTTAATTTTGTAATATCAACACGTCACTCGAATACGAACGAAACGTATCGGTAAAAAAATAACATGATTCCATACAAGAGCTGTAATAAAGCGGAATATCGGTAATCGAGTGCGGTAATCCGCAACGAATCCTGGGATATCCCTATTAGCCGGATCTCGCGATCCCGCGCGCAGCTGGCTTGTTCACAGCGACATTTGTAATAATGCTTACATGTTAATGACCGTTTAGTGATATAAATAACATAGTTATTTTGTTGTTTTTTTACCTTGTATCTACATTTCGACAATGTTTGGTATTTAATACGCGACACGAAGTGTAAGAGCAGTGACAAAAACTTAAAACACTCCCTAGGCCGAATTACACATTTGATTACCAAATAGACAAAATACAGTCATTATGAATCAGTTACAAATTTTCACCATTCCAATTTCCGACCTTCATAAATTTATTATTATTCAATTAATAGATACACAGAAAAAAGGTTTTCTACTAATAAGAAAGAGCAATTTCTCAAAATATTTGCTAATTCTGAAAAAATATTTATTGAAAGTAATAAAATATTGTCATTACAAAAATACTGCTTATCTTTTTCTAATATAATTTTACTCTTAACTTTATTCTAACTTTTAGACAAATATATTCACTTCAAGATTTTATTTCATTTCTAATCAATTAATTGGACATTACTTACATCAAGAAATTTTTACCTCTTACATCAAATTTAAATAATCTTAAATGAATTCAAAATTTCTTGGGTATATTTTAAGAAAATATATTCTTAAACAAAAAAAGAAGTAGTTTTCTATTCAGATTAATATTCTAAATTCTAGAGTATATTCTTAAAGCAACATTTCGTTGCGTTTTCATAGTCAATGTTGTCGTGACATGTCGCCGAAGGAGCACGCGGTAACGATTATTTTTACTTGTGCTTGTCTAAAAATCATAAACAGTCATTTATCCAAAGAAACAATACGTAGTATCTCTAGTTTGTTAGGGTGTTATTTATAGTCATAATTTAAGAAATTTGGTTTCAGCATGAAATCAAACAACACTTGTAATAAGCACAACTTTAACATGCAATTAGTTCCATCACGCCACTGCTAGATGCTACTCTGAAACGCGCTATCGTTTTGTTAACTTCAATAGTATAAAGTCATCTCATATATTAGGAATTGATAATGCTTTCTGCCGCTGTAGCGTTTATACGTTTAAGAAGATTCCGTTCTAATTCTGCTACTTTAAGGTTTGATACTGAACTGTGAGCTTTCACGCTAGTGAGACATACTCTTGGGTCCATTACCTGTAAATTTACCCTTTTTAATATTAGAAAACAAATCTTTAGTCAAATAATTAAGTACATCTCAATTTTTCATTCTTTTTTTTAAAATCAATATCGGACATTTCTAATAACAAATAAATATTTTGTTAAATCTAGAGTGGTTTTGTGACTTGAAGTAAATTAATTTGCTCTTGGATTAAATATTTCTGTCTTATAACAAAAATACACTTTTGAGACGTTTTTTTACTATTATCAAGTAATTATTCTCTAGCGTCTATAGGGAGAAGATCGTTTTGTTGGATTTAATAAATTTGTCTTCATAAAAAGAATTTTGTCTTTTCTAAGTAATCTTGATAGGTTTGCAACGCCGATATTCTGCCGACACAAGATGATTGCGCAAGCGCTTGCACTAATAACGACAACTTCATTGATTTTGACTTAATGAAGCCTATTCGCTACCATCAAGTATATTTTCTAGAGGCCTACGTTCACCAGTGAGCTTTCGACTGGTACAACATTTTCATTACATCGAAATAAAAAACAAATTGAAATATCCATTATCATCATCACGGCAATACAAGCCCAATAAAGGGCGCTACACTTCGTAAAAGGGCGTTTTCACGCGTCGTTGAGTCTCACTTCTCCTGCTCATGGACACAATATTGCACTCACGATGAGTAAAATAAACTCGCTTTGCACAAATTATTCACTAAACTGCACCTTCACTGTGAGGCCATAGGATAGAAATTGACATTTTACGAGAAGAAACGCAGGAAATCGGGCGAATAGCTAGCCTTATATCTGAAGCCATAGAGTATAATTTGGAAGGTGATAGTATATAGTGGTCGCTATTCTATTAGTCGTAGGGTCACCATATATTTATTAATAGAAGTCCAATTATTACACAAACAATTATTGCTGAAGGAAATTTTTAAACGCTTGTGTAAAAAATAATACAGAGAGGCGAAAGGAAAAACTTTGCAACACAAAGAACGAAAATATATTAATGATTACCTATATAAAAACAACCATCGGATAGCGCACATTTACTAGGTTTTTACATCGACCTTTCTAGTCAAAATTACGTACTCAATTCAACAAACAATTTTGCAGGAAATGTTATTAGAGAAGAAAAACCAAATCATAATTAGTCTTCGCCCTATGTATTCAATATTATAGATCCACGAGCAATGTAGCGAATTCGATTACCATCGCACTTCTATTGCTCTCCTGATTTCCTCTCATCGCGGAACAACCATCATACGTAGACCTATCACAACGAACGAACACCTTCGAACTGGAACTTAAAATAAACTGGTCATTAAAACTTAAAAGACCTTTCATTCTCCATTATTCATTTCACCCGAGAGGTCACATTAAGATAGATATAACCATCCCAATTGACCCCTCCTTTTAAACGTGCTACTCTATTGAACGGTTCAAGTAATTTTGTTTTTTTGAAACAAGTTGACAATAGAAATACGTGTGACTGCTTTGTAAAAGAAATTAATTGCAACTTAGATGTTTGAGATAAGATTGCTTTTAAGATAATTTCTTTGTATGTACGAGGAGTTTAACAGTTTTGTTTCTTTTGTGATATTTGTAACGGAAATATGCGGGTGACGGGATTTGATGCTTCGATAATGAGGTAATAACACTTTATGTACAATATCACTTAGATCGGAATTATCAAATGAATTAGATGTATAAATTTTTAAAAAAACAACATTCGTCTTCAAAGTCAAACGTAGTTTTTTGATACTCACGGTATAGACTAAAAACAAACAACGTGCACACACAAATTAAATTTCACAAAATCGTGCTTGATACTAAAAACGATAATACTAGTTTTGTTTTGTGTGTTTTTCTGTCAGTTTCTCAAAAATGTTACTTTTCGAATTGCGTCACTTTATTACCAAGGGTGGAAACATAACTTTCGAAAATATGTTTCTTGTTAATACACATTACGTTTACCAAGTTAAGTTAGTCAAGCTGACGTAAACCTTGTTTGTAAATTAACGTGGGCACGTTCTAGACTGAACTCGTGGAGCTAGGGCACGGTATGTCTTTAGCGAGCGCGCGTCGCGACGGAAGTGTCGCCGGTAATTTGCTTAACTCGCCACTGCCACTAGCGGACACAGTGGACACTACACGCGACACTATCTCGAGCAAACGTTTATTTTTATTGTTTTCAGTGGATGATCTTCATCATTATTGCTCAGTGAATATAAGAGAAACTAGCAGACTGCTATAAACCAGTGACTGGAGCCGGATCTCTTCATTGTGTATAACAACTATAACAATGAAATATTTAGAGGATTTCTAACAAAAACAGGTAGTGATAGAACGAAACATGCAATAGACATTTTACAAAACAGTTTATAATGTCTCGGGCTTGATATTTTCCATTATCCGTTTCGTTTCATAAATGTGAAGATCAACGCCAAAATCGGCATTAAATATAAGCAACGTAACGATTAAGTCGCATTATCGACTGTTATAAAGAAACCGAAGGGAGCCTCCCTCAAGAAAAGGACACAAAGGCCGTTCCACAATGGTAATAAGTTTACTCGAACAACTACATTTACGAGTGTCGCGTCACTGCAACCCTTTATTAAGCTACAACAAATACAGTGTCAGATTAGTGACGACCACATTATTTAGCAAGCACTCAACCAACTTTCTCACTGCATTCGGTAAAATTTTATGACGCACGCTATAGGTACTGTTTTACTTTACACTTACACTATTTTGCTAAAGCATAAGAAAGCAATTAGGATGTGTCTAGTTCTGCAAGAGCCGTGACGCTACGGCAAAGGTAAAAACGGTTGTAATAAAAAAGGGAATGGAGGGTTCTTATGTGAGTGGCGACGTTGAATACGCTTGACATATGTTCAGCTCGGAGCTAAAGGGGATTGAGTGGCGTAAGCCCTTGGGCTCATTATTGGCCGTTTACCCTTTTCGAAGAGCCCTCCGCTCTGTTTGCGAAGTGTTCTCATTTCACTTAATAGAGGCGAAATTTTGTTTAGTTTAATATTCACTGTGGGGCTTAGTGATGTACAAACACGTCACGTTGCTGGTTTATGACATATTAGGTTTAGGGAAATGTAAAGAAAAATACTTCTCACACAGAGATAATAGTTGCTTGATTAGACACGATATATTATTGTGAATTTAGTTACAAGAACCATTAAATTCGTCAATGTTTGTATTTGTATCCAGATATCATGCTTATACCTACCAGTGGTGGCGCGGATGACGCTTTGAAGCTTCTACGAGGATTTAATGTGTACATAAATAATTGTTATGACAGCGCTTTCCAGTAACCAGGAGAAATATAAAAAAAATACTAACCTGCACCCTTACTTCAGGCAAATTAACTTTCATCGCCAGCTCCTCTCTCGAGTAAACGTCGGGATAATGGCTCTTCTCGAAGGCCCGCTCCAGCTCGTGCAGCTGGTACGTGGTGAAGGTCGTCCTGTTCCTGCGGTGCTTTTTCTTGTCAGCGGCCGATCCCGCCGGCGGCTCCTCGTCGCTGCCTGCGGACTTGTCTTCGGCAGTCGGCTGGAAGCCATCGTTGCTGTTGCAGGAACCTTCGCCTGCAACACGCAAATGCGCATTGTTAGTGAAGACTTCTGAAAGCGGTTGTTACTAAAGGCAGTTTAAATAAATTTTGCCCGGTGTCACGTTGCACATTAAGTGCTGAAAACATTTTAGTGTCGACATTAAGTTAAAAGAATTCTTAAACAGCCTGCAATAGCACGCATAGAAATGCATTCAGAGTTCATTAAATGCAACACACATCGTTGCTTCAGTGTAACTTAAAAGATTGACTAGAGAAATGCTACATCAGCCATAATTAAACTGTAACGTTATTAAATAATAATCGTAGATACTGACCGTGACTCGATAAATTGAATTTAAGACCAAGTTCATTAACGATGCCTTTACAGACCATTATCTGTTTTGCAGAAGAACTGGATATGACTAGGATAATCCCGAGTGAGCGAGTTCAAGCTGTGTGTGGGAATACTTATTGATCTAAACCAATTGTGTGCACTACCGAGGAAGAAAACGATTTGTAGCTGACAGTGACGTGACGTGGCTCTTATAGAAAGAACCACTAATGGACCAATAGAATACTTAGATAGCTTTAATTACATCATCGTGCGAAGAAAATCGCGCCGTGGGCGCAGCAGCGATTAATGACTTGCCAAAGTCGTGACGGGAAATTACGATTAACATATTCAGTCATTAGCGTACGAGGTGACCCCAAAAACATTATAGACTTAATCACAATCAATTAACGCTCAAAATCTGAAAACGCCCCGCAGCAGCAAAAAGAATAATTCAATCAAGAGGCCATTTTGAAAAATCATTAAGGTGGTTTAATACGAGCAACACGGCAAATCTGACACGTGATTAGGGTTGCCACATCAAAAAACAACAAGACAAGCCATTATGGGCGATAATGCTGCGAGTGTTGCCAGATTATCGATAATTATTACAAAAAGGTAAGCTCAGATCGTATCGCGATAAGTGTAAAACGTCTTAATGCGTTGCCCATAATATTTTTATTTGTTTTGTGCTGCCGCGTGTAATCTGTCTCAATAATCTTAATGCGCCGTTGTCTGTCTGTCTCTTTTCCTCATTGGCATATTAGACGCGTGCAAATGAGACGTGTTTAATGCAGTTAGTCTGTTTTGACTCGTGATCGGTCAATCTGAGCACAATGCCGGTGTTTTGTCACTCTCGTATCGATTTTGATTTCTTAATCGTCGTTGTGAGTGACGCGACGGTGACTTCGATTCGAATTAAATCGTGTTACTAAATTGTATGTAGTTAAGCTTGTACCTTTTTCAAACCAAAATATTATCTGATCTTACCAATTTCTACGAAAAACGTATCAAAATGTCTTCCGCAGATCAATACAGCCAATCCACCGTGCACTTAAAACAATATTTGAAACATGAAAATCTGCATATTTCAACACTAATTATTCGTCCTTATAATGGATTGCCGTACACTGAGTATATTAGCTGTAATAATTGCCTTTCCAACATTGCATGGGAAAGTAACGAAACCCATAATTATGTTACTTACGCTAAGTGGTACTGATTTTTACCGTGTCCCTTTAGTTTTATATACAACTTATGCAAATTTTAAACACGCCGGCTTGAAAATTATCGTATTTAGAATAAATTGTAACACCTTATTATTGCCCCTATGAGGGTGGCATATCTATAAAGATAAAACCCTCTTAAAAAAATAAGAAAAAGTATTTAAATAGAAAACCCACTGTGAATCCCCTAATGTTCATACATTTTTAAAGTTCCCTTAAATTTTATTATAATATTTAAAATCTGTAGCAGATCTGTTCGACGTAAATTATTGGCATGGGAGTTGCCTGCTGACCCACTACCCTCGTGCAGTGATTGGTCTATTTTTATTAAAACTATTCTTGTTTTAATGCGATGGATAGAGTCATTAAAAGTTAGAACAAATCATGTCACAAAAATTTATATAAGTAATGCATTTTCGCTGTACCATAATTCGTCCTTGTTAGGTACTTAAATTTTATTCTATTAAATTTTTTTAGAAGTTTTATGAGAAGTTGTTAAAACTGTAACATTTATACTTTAAAAGACAATTATCTACTAACTAAATACAGTTATTAATCAGTGGAAATGATGACATGCAACTCTTTGCACAGCAGGCACTCAATCACGCGCGCGGACAAAATAATGGCGGCGGCGAATGCGCGGTTTCCGCCACCGACTGTTGCCGCCGCTTCCGCACGAAACATCGGGTATTTGTTTTATTTAAAACCTATTAATCATTTCAAATTCCACTGCTAACGTTTGCATGTTACTGTTTACATTATTTTGATTTTATAATATTAATGATTAATGGCAATTTGTTAATGCTTTTATGATTATTCTGCCAGCAATATTAATGTCTGAGTATTGGAATGACGGCGTAGCAATCGTGCCGATAGCGTCAAATGTAACACATTAACATACACTAAAAGCCAAATAATTACGACTGTGTAAACGTCCTCCTTAAAAGATACCAGTGCTCAAATAACGCATATGCTCCGATACGACTGCATATGCTTTTGTTCTTGCATGGAACAATACTAATATTAAAAAATATAATACAACTACCGTAAGATATGGACAAATAAAATAATAACGTTGGAAAACCAACCCTCGAGTACTCGTTTCGTCCAACAGTGAATAGAACAAACAAAATTATCTATCCGGCCGTAGCCTGAGCGGAATTATACCGGCGAGCGGAAGGCGTGCTGTTGCTGCGATGCGCTGATACGCGATGATATATGATGCATATTACTGACGCTATTTATGACCAGCGCGGGGCGCGCGTTCACCTTCTGTGCATGTTTAGGGTACGATATTGAAGTAAGAATTAAGTGACGCATGTTTCGTTTTAATAGAGCAAGAAAGTGGTACCTAATTATACTTAAATTCTTTTCAATTTTGTAAAAGACACGTAATGATTATCTACTGTCACAACCCATTTCAGCCGATGCTAGAAAACTCTTTTACAGAAGAATCCGCTCACAAATAAAAGACGCACATAACATTTCAAAGCATATTTACGAGTAAAGTCGGGAGTGCATTTAATGTAGAGCCCGAGCAGACTTATCGAATCGCGAATGTTTTTCCTTCCTACAATTAGCCAAGTTGAATGCACATCTTCAAAATATTTCAATTCAACAGGATCCATTGTTAGAAGTTATTAAATTTGAATATAATAGCATTATCATACACCGCCATTGCAGTTGGCGTCCGCACTGCCCGCGCGCTGTCCGCGCGCTGCCCGCGGACTCTCGTGTTTGATTTATCGCGCTCGCTACGTTGTAATTGCGTTGCCGTCGTTGGATATGCATCACATCGTGTTACATGAACAGTGCTGATAAAAGGGATGTACTGACGCACGAAACACTTGCAAAGGCAACGACGTCGAAGGTGACTTTGTGAGTGTTTACACGATTGATTGCTTTTATAAAATCGGCAGTCCGGATGAGATTGGGCCGTCCTTACCAAGTGGCTCTTTAATTACGGGTAATTATTGAAATACTAGCTATAACAATATTCACAAATTCTATGCTGCAATTGTACTAGCTGATCAACCAACTAAAACAAAAACATCGGTTAAGTTTAAAGACTCTCCAAGTGCAAGCGGATTTTTTAAAATAATATCAAGTGACGGGACGAATAAGTCGTGTGCCTGGTGGTAAGCTGCACGCCCGTGCGTAACAGTTGCAGTGCCACCCAGAGCTTTAAATAATAATAATAATAGTAATAATAATAACCCATTTATTTCCGGCCATAGCCCATAAGATAATGGTGTTAGTCACAAAAGAAAACCTTAAAACTATGTTAGTATATCTTTAAATCGCAAAGACCTGAAAGACACTGCCACTGCGCCTGTCACTCTGAGACATAACCCTTACCTTCCTAAACTGGAACGCAGTAATGCTCACATTACTGCTTGGTGGCAGTAGCCGGCGGCAGTACTTCTTGGACGAACTCTTTCACAAGGAGCTCCACTGTCTACTATTTGGCGATCAAATTGAAAAGCAAAATGCGCAATGTATCCAAGAGCTTACGTACGTCCTACATAATTAGAGATAGATAACAATCATTGGCGTGACCCAAAAAAGATTGAACATTAATTCAAACGCCGTCCCCTGCCGACCGCAGCCGACTAGAACTCGTTAGATCATGATTAGAATGTCGATTGTTTCGCCACATTCGATTCGCAATCAATTACTGACTATTCGATTATCCAGTCCCCCTCCCTTCACCTCGCCACCCTGCTCCAGTCCGGTGCGGTGACCGCGTCATTCGGTTGCTGATGACGTCATGTCCTGATTGACATTCTATGGTGAATATTGACAAAGAATGTATTCATTTTATAACAATAACCGTTTAGGGTGTCCGTCTGTATGTATTTTCAAGATGGCTAACACAGAATTTTGAGTCTTAGTTAACCACTGTTTAAGTGGTAGAGAAACTGAAACAATATTATGGAGAATCTGCTCATGGTATGTCTCATGGAATGATAGTAACTAAAGCAAGATCGATTTAATTCAAAGTTAGTGAAGAAACGACCCCATTTTGCTAATAAAAATATACTCTTCTATCACGATAACGCTCCAGCTTATAGCTAGCTCCATGTAACTTTTCGCTATTCTTAAATATTAAAAAATTACTTGATGGACAAAGATTTCCATATTTTTTGATGGGTTGGACACGAACGTACTTCATTAGCCACGTCCAAAGCAAGGCAAGTGGAATTTGTGTTGACGCATTCATCGGCCACGTCGTCACAAAACGTCAGTCAGTTTCATTTAAAAAATCCTAAAATATGTTTCCAAACTCAATTGTAAATGTAATTAATTCTTGTAACTTTTTGCACATGTGATATAATTCCAAAATAATTGAGATTATAATAATAATCTCCCACAACAAATCAAAATTAATCTTTTAGTCCGTGCGAGAAGTGAGAGTCTAAAATAGATACCTATCCAAAATAATAATGATAATAAATAAAAATAATAGAAATAAAT